GATGAATCGAATAATTACATATTTTTATTTATTAACGTCAATGTGTATAATTTCTCATTTTGCTCAAATGTGTGTAACACAAACAAAGTAATTATTTTGTTTAGATAAATGTTAAGGTAAACTTCTTAAAAATAAACGGTATGATAGCGCAACATAGTGAAATTGTGACAAGCTTTAAGTATATAAATCGTAGAATTAATAAAAAAAGGTTATTTGATATACGATGTTATCGGGTTTAATTTGCCGAATATAATAACATCAAAGTGGAAAGTTACCCCATGGAACAAAACAAAGATGGCGTTTTGGATGAAGCACCGGTTGGTGTGTTAACGGTTCGTTTGTCACGTGACATGCGCCGCCCAGGCCTCAGATAACACGCCCTTTAGGCCACCTTACTTAAGGATTGGCCCTTTGTTTAAAACATGTCCACCGCCGAAAAATTTCGTACTTGATTGTTACAGCACCTCGTGATTATTTACGTTTTAAGCTGTAAGCGGGCTTCCCTCGCCACAGTTGTTTCTATTAGGGGTTTTTATGCATGGAGCTGACCAATTAGTCGTCGGATAGCATGTTCGGGTGGCAGCCATCGGCTAACATGGACGCGTGCGGTTGGCCGTAATAGCGCGTTGCCGGGTGGTAATGTGTTGTTGGCGTGCCGCGCCCCCGCCGCCCTATCTACCCACCAATATTTGGAACCTGTAGCCCTATATCGTACCTTTTAAAACTTCGCTCATAACCCGAGATTGGTCGTTGCGTGCGTCCGTTACCATATTACGACGACGAATAATTAGCTTTATCTGATATACTTTTTACGAACATGGTAATTTACTTGTAGCATGGAAGGCGATGTTCGTGTTGAAAACTGATTACTTTTATGTTTAATACCAGTTCCAAATTTTTACAGGTTTCAGTCGATTTGCGTTCATGCTTAAAAGCTAGTTTATTTTTTCCGGCATATGCTCTATCTAGAATAAAAACTTGATTGTATACAAAGTAGTCAACGCAAACAGCGTTCTTTAATATCATGCTTAAGTGTAAAATGCGATTAAGATGACACATGAAACTGGATACTTACGCCACAAGAGACGACTCTCTAAAGCATTTTACACAAAACTGTCACCAAGTATTAACCTCTTGAAAATTTCATAGTCCGTGGCTTATAGTGTAGATGACTCAGTCAAGCGTAAGAAAAAAATGTACATCTATTACCTTACAAAATATCGCACCATGTAATTTTATATCGGTGCGGGTGCGGACGATGTCATTGGTGAATTCAAAGTGTAATGGAAACATTATATCTCTTCGCTCACCTGCGTCAAACCGAGGCGGCATGATCACTCACACAAAAAACCGGTGTATAGTTACCTACAGTCTTGTTAATTTCTGACACACACAGCTCCAACTTGGCATCTCCGTAGTGATTTCTTTTATTATTTATTGATGTTTTATCAAGCTACGATGATATCCCGGGATAAATGATACTCAATCACAGAATCTCAGGTTAAGGTAGACTTTATTAATTCTTTTTTGTGCTAAATCAATTTTATAAAAACAACATTATGTAGTTACCTTACTTCGTACAAGTAGGTTGTTGTTAAGATATTTTTCTATAATTTCTTGCGTTTAGTGTTATTATGCCTAAATAGAGGCTTTAAAACGAAAGTCTAACAAATCTTTATTTTGATCAGCCTGGCAATACAATCAAAATGTTAACATTCATCTGTGTATTTTCATTATAAAGTTATTTCAGTAGGTATATCGAAATGACACTACATTATTGTAAATGAAAATCCCCAAAAGACAGAATCGCTCGAGAGTATTTAAGTCGTAACTGAACCCGGTCCTCGCGATCGGACGGGTGCTTACCAGGTGTAACTTGTGGGTCGCATCTCTCATCCCGTGTATCGGTGTCAAGCCCCCTGGCCGCTCCGGACCATTATTTCACCTTTGTTTTATTATTATGATCTTGATTCGCCCCCGCCCTGAAACGGTCCCATTCACGTAAACGTTTAGCACGTAAGTGGCGGCCACAAATAATATATCATTTCGTATATTATTATGCAGGTATTGTTTTGCCAGAAAAGGGACTTTTGGATCATTTGAATCAATTTTCTTAATTTAAGTACATCCTGTTCTAAATGATGCTCTATCAACAAGATTATAATGACTTACTCTTAGGCTATTATTTTATTAAAATTTGTACTTGTATATTCCGAAATTCTATATTTAACGGTTCTAGAACGTAATACGGTCTAAGAACGGACCCGAAAGTAACATAGGATTTTGTGTTTTATTTATTAAATTAACAGTGTAAATATAAAGTCCTGCATAAGAAGTCACTGTTACCTACTCAACAGGCCGTTATAATTCTCTTTGTCACAAAGTCAAGAACGTAAGTTGCGTAACCTGCGTTTATTATAAAATGAACATGATTGATTTTCAATAAATTTAATTAAATAGAGCCAGACTTTAGCTGTAAAGCCTTAGATAAGCTTGGCTCGGGTCAAAGCGATGTCATTGACAGGCTTAAAATTGTCGCCTAAAATAATATTCAAAAACCATTAAACTGATAAAAACTGTCGATCGTGAGTTTGTTTGGAAACAAACCATTTCATATTAACTCTAGCTGTCAATGTAGCTAGTTTTTTGTGGAAAAGAGTTTGATTTAAGCCAACTCCAGTTTTAACTACGAATGTGCCGAGCGGAGTTTGCAAACTATAGATGGGCTGGTTAAAAGTCATGTCGGCCGTCAAAAGTTTTGTTATGGAAAAACCAGGAAATCGTGTTCCTTTTTTTCTGATAATCACGATTCTTTTGTTAAGTTTTTCATGCATATTGAGACGTCAAACTATGAGAACCGTGGATATTTTAATACCTACTTACTGTTTGCATATTTAGAATTTTTCAAGTACATTGTCGCTCTATGAAAAGCTTTACATGAACTTTATTTAGGGTCAAGTTTGATAAGTAAACTCTATTTTCACTACTCGCCAAATTAGAGAATTTCCATTATTATTAAATTAATTTCATGACATTTCAATTAACAAACAAACCAAAATAAGTGCAGGAAAAACTTAAAGATTTAGGTCTATTGGTAGCAGTTACGCTTTTCGTAGTGAAACTGATAATTATTACATGATAATAACTATCTCTTTTACTTTCTTTGTAACATCAATCAATCCATTAATTAAGAATTATTATAAAATAACATGATCACCGCGAATTTAGCACTCAATCATAAAAATAATACCATCTCCCGCAATGTTCAATAAATAATCACGCAATTAATTAAGTCAGTCACGATCTGCAAACCCAAACATAAAAATACAATTTAACCGAGTGAATTAACCGTAGCAGTAACGGCTTACTTTAATAACAACGACAGCGGGTACGAGCAATATTTTTGTGTTTATCTCATTTTTATGAGTTTAAGTAGGAAGTATGAGGTGGCTCGAGAGATAGGGATTTAATTGAAGGCGAGGTGGTTGGGGTGGGCAGCCGCAGCTCGGAGCAGAAATAATAAAAAACGAGCCCGCGCTATCCCCGCGAGCGCGGATACTGTGAAAGTGGCACGCCCGGGATAAATGACGTTTTTTGTTTGTGGAATACGCCTAAGCCTCGCGACGCTCCACTTTTGTATTGTTACTCGAATTCTATGGATGTTAGTTCATTCATAGAGCTCGACGAACGTCATTAAAATGACGCCTTTAAGAGATGTTTTATCCACAAACCATCATACGATTACCGCTTCCTATTCTGTAATAAAGAGGCGTTATTTTGATATGTGTATTGGACCATATCTCAACGTTATTTTTAACAAGTTTATTTTACTTATTCACACTAAAAAATACTATTATATCTGATTACCTATCAACAGATGACAAAATAAGGTGGATATCCTGAAAGGTATAGAGAAAAATCCATTGATGAAAGACAATCCATTACTCGTATTCGTTGCTAATACAAAGAAACACAAACGAAATGAATATTATTATTTATATGTCGAACTCGGAATAGGGGCGAACAAAATAAAGTCAACATCATAGTTGACAATGGACTGAATGCATGTTTGTTTTGGGGAATATTTGATTTGTTACCGTAATAGTGCTGTATAAAGCTCAATATCGTTTGGGTTTTATTGTTAAGGGGTGCCGCGCGTCACTTCTGCGATTTAAGTGACAGTTTTATTAATTTCCCATACTACTCATCCCATTTTCCACCCTACTTCGTTTCTGACAGTGCGTTGGCGTGGCGGCACATGGTGTTACGGCACTATAGAGTCTGATTTCCTAACCGATTTGTAAATTTTAAAATGGTTTTAACGCATCATATTTTTACTTCAAGTTTTCTAGCCACCGAAAAATAATACAAAAAAATACTTACGTTTAATATCCATATTTTAACTGCAATAATATTTCAAATTGTTATATCTAAAACAATCGTTTGTTACCGTACTATCTTGATTAACGCATGTTACAAAATGGGGGTCGGTAAAATGAAGTCTTTCTGTAGCATCACGCCCAAACTTACTAAGTAAACCGTTCTCGAGGCTTAATAGAAATGGGATACGGGGACTGCATCCTAATAAAGATAGGACAATTCAAATAACGGCGCGTGGTCCAACAAATGCGTATGTAGCTATGTCTCAGATAAGCTGCAGCTTAGCGTTCGCCAGCAGTCGATGGCTTATCTCGATTTCAATTATTATGCTGCCGCTTTCATTGGCTTTCATTGGAGGGCTGCGGATTGGGGCGGTGTCGTTTCGCATTATCTGCAATCTCGCCTAAATCAGACTGGAAACGTACGCCGGAATCTACTTAAAAAAAATTAAGCGTTCGCCCAGGGAGGGATCTGTCCACGCTTCGCAACTGATAAATCCTTGTTATGCGTTTATGTCTGGAACGCTTTCCGGAAAGGGCGCTTAATGATTTGCACCGCGATTTTATTGTTTGATTAATAAATCCTGTATTCGTAGTAACAAAGGCGTTTATTTTTAACAGGTACGGGATGGATCTCAATGGTGCCAGGAGGAAAAATGCGACACGCGAAACAACAAGCACACTCAAGGCGTGGCTTAACGAGCACAAAAAGAATCCATACCCCACAAAGGGAGAGAAGATTATGCTCGCTATCATCACTAAAATGACGCTGACGCAAGTGTCGACGTGGTTCGCCAACGCGCGCCGTCGCCTGAAGAAGGAAAACAAGATGACGTGGGAACCGAGAAACAGGGTCGATGATGATGACAATAATAATGATGACGACGACCACAAGAGCAATGATGGAAAGGATGCTCTGGGTACGTATTTCTTTTTTAATTCTTTTAATCCTGTAGGAATCTGTAAAGAAGATTATTAAAATTTTACTCTCTGTAGATATTAATTTCGGTACTGGTGTAATTTTCGTGGCCATAGTGTGATGTTTGATGTATTTTGATTAGATAAAATACCTGTAGGTGGGTGGATCATTTTTTCGATATTTTTTCGGATTTTTTCACAGCATCTAGTGATAAAATTCGTAGTATACTAGGACCAGATAATGCAGGATTACAATGAAATATTTTTATTTTAGATGGAAAGGACTCTGGCACCGGTTCAAGCGAAGACGGCGACCGGCCTCAACAAAGGTTAGATTTATTAGGACAAAGAACTGAATCCGAATGGTCTGAATCACGCGCAGACAGCGGTCCCGAGTCCCCAGAGCCGTACGAGAGGCCAATTCACCCCGCTTACCAGCACTTACCGTCCCGAGCTCCACCGGGCAGCACGCCCGCTTCTGCGAAGCCCAGAATATGGTCTCTGGCGGACATGGCCAGCAAAGACGGTGAAACCCCGACGCCGCCCACGTCGGCTTCAGCGTTCTACCAGTCCGCAGCGGCGGCCGCAGCAGCCGCCCGCCTGGCGCACCCGTACAGCAGGCCGGAGCTGTACCGCGGCCTGTACCACCCGACGCACCCCGCGGACGTGGCCCTGCTGGAGTACTCGCGGTCGCTGGCGCTGTCGGCGCCCGCACCCGCCCCGCCCGCGCCCTCGCCGTCCTCCTCCTCCACCTCCTCGCTGGCCGAGCCGCCGCCGCCGCCTCGTGCCTGACCACTAGCTCCCCGCCCGCCGCTGGCGCATCGACAATAAACGCGATCTCCCGAAGAGTGCCGCGAGGGCCTTCCCACTTGTAAATAGTGATTATTAGTTTAAAAATATAAATATGTATACATACCTACATATACGTGATAATTATTATGCACCGGTAGAGAAGCTTAGATTTGTGATAGTGGACACATGGAGCGGTGCACGCTCGACGGCCGCCCGCCGTGAGGTTGACAACTCGCAAACGACGTCGGCGCTGCGCTCGCGCCGACCGACCGACAATACTAGGTGCTAATACAAGTTGGACCTTGCGACATGTTGCAGTAGTTATTATTGAAAGTGGTTAATCGAAGTGATTTAATTCAAAAATAGGTATTATTATGTGTTACGTTTCTAATAGAAAATCGACACTGTGTTAGATTATTTGTATGTAGAATGTAAATTATTATTTTGAAAATATCCTCTTCACGTTTAGTGCCTAATTACGTCCAATGTTTTACTATTGTTTGATAGTTTCATAAAAATATCTTACATTCGAATTTTAATATTTATTCATACGAGGTCAGTAGTTGTAACAAGCTTCTAATAATAAGTTTAATCCACAAATTTTATCAATATTAGATTTGTGAAAATCTGTATAGTTATTTTCTAGTCAGAAGACTATTTTGTCTGTGTTAACATTACAATAATATGTTTGACATGTAATATCAGTCGTGTACATCTTAACTTTTATGCATTTTACTATTAACCAGGATGTATAGGGCTGGTGACGGTTCTAAAGTATAGTGTAGTATAGTAATATGATACAAAATACTAATTCACCGTTCCCACAGTATCTTAATACATGTGCATCTTAAAAAATACATGTGGCCGTTAAGCATTCGGTCTATTCTCATTACGTCAAATATTTTAATATCGCGCCTATCTTTAAGGGTGAGAATACCTTAACTTTGGTTTCAAATCACAGGTATTTAAAAATATACGTACATACATTTCTACAACAAAAAAAAAACACTCAATAACTCGGTTCTGTTGTTTTTAGTTTTAAAGTCCTTTATCTTTATAATCGTTCTTTACTTGAAAATAATACTATACCTACTGTTTTGGTACCCTTTTGGTGAATAATTCACTTTACTGCAATTTGTCGTGATTATGAAAGACTTGTAGAATTAATTTCAAAAACTCAGACTACTATTTTCCTTATTATACAGAACCTGAAATGAGAATGAAAAAAATAATTATCTCCGTGTCCCATCAATAATAAAATGACACATTATCTTTAACTTAACACTCATTATGTTTATATACAATTATCTGAAAATGTTCATTACTATAATTGCCTACACTTTTTAAACAAGCGTCATGGGACCAAAATGTGGGAATGTGAAGGTATTTTATGCAAAATAATCCTTGCTGTTTTCGAGTTCTTATCAAATTGATGTTATTAACCTATTGCTTCTGCAGTACCAGCCCTCATACAGGTTCCTCAATTAGACTTGTATCTCCAAAATGAGTTGAATATACTTATCTAAGTCTAAAATGGCCTTGTATAATTGTAAAAGTTAAATTAATGTAAAGTTATACGATTATTCATGATTTGTTTTCTAAACATTGTAAAATATTTTCTTTAATATTGTAGAGACTGAAAGTCCAAAACTGAGTCTATAGTTTTGTACATAAATGTCACTGTTGTAAGTATAAATGTAATGATATCGTGAATATTTAAGAGAGGTAAATGCAATAAATTTTCTGTATTAGCAGTCTTTTAATGTACATAATTAAAACGCGGATGGGAGACGTTAATCTTCAATGTAGTAATTGTAAACAACGAAAGCATGTCCAAATGAAAATAACTGTAACTACTTCGTTCCTTTTATTTACACGTCTGCTACTTAATACTGTGTGATCATGTTCTAGTAATATATCTATTGTTAGAAGAAGTATGTGCGTAGAAATACGAAGGTTTTCTTCATGTTCGTTTCTTAAAATACTTGTTCGTGTCGTAACTCAGCGTTTATTTCAGCATTGTTAATTTATTAGTAACACGTATTGTTATTAACCGTCTTAAACGTCTTTTGACCGTTCCCAGAAAGGTGTGTGAATAGATGCAATAAAATTGAATACAGAAGTAATTACAGTTTTTTATTTCACTACTCTACTTTCAGCCTTCTTTTATAATTGTGGATAGTAACTCATCAATATCTGATACCACAAAGGCCATACAGAGTTACCCACATTTACAATTATATCAATTACTAATAAATTACAAATCATATTTATTTAAAAAAAAATGTGTATTAATAAATGATATGCCGACATAATAAAGGTGTCCCTAACCTTGGAGCCTTTGCCTGCAATGTATCGCTATAAAGTACAACAATCGCATCTGAAATTTTACGTTACAGGCGAATGCTCCAGCACGTTTTTAACATTATTAGTTGAAAACTATTTAGGTATACATATTAAAAACGTATGTTGTCAAAAATTAAGGACATTTTATTAAATCGATTTTCAGTATGAAAACATACACGAGTAAATATAATGATCCTTTTCTGAAAAAAGTTTTTAAGACCGATGAATTTAACACAAATTCAATAATAACGTTTCAAAACATTTTAATCACATATATTAATACACACAGGCAAGGTATTAAAAATAGTAGGATACATATGATAGCAATTGATCAATAGAATTATCACTTTACCTACGTCATTCTTGGGTAACTTTGAATAATAAGATTTTATGCATCAGGTCCAGTTACAGTGCATATTTTTTTTATAATTAGCTTAATTTATAGAAATCATGAAAAGTCAAAGTTACCCAAGGTGTAAGTACCATGGTATTAAAAATAGTAGGAATATGATAGCAATTGATCCATATTATCACTTTACTTACGTCATTCTTGGGTAACTTTGAATAATAAGAATTTATGCATCAGGTCCAGTTACAGTGCATATTTTTTTCCAAATTAGCTGAATTTACAGAAATCGTGAAAAGTCAAAGTTACCTAAGGTGTACGTACCTACCCATTGTTAAAAAGTTGCAGTTACATTCGAGCTAATGTTCAGATTCAATGAAACTAGTATAGGTTTCTTGGTGCCAGGACTCTTTTGACAAATATACCAGCAATTAAAAAAATCTAAAAAGGTACCTAAGTAGATGACATCATCATATATACTCAACATCAAATAAACCGCACCTTCCGCGACGCGAACTTTAACGATTTTCTTCTGACACAATCATGGTACCCCAACAAAATATTGGTGTTATTTGAAAGCCCAATAAATATCCTTAAAGAAAAACACATTTAATTTCTTAATAAATAATTAACATATTCATAAATGTGACTTGAAAAAATACTTCACTTTGGGCCCACCTATGGGATCAATTAGAGCAATTTTTATGGTTATAAAACCAAATAATGATTTCACGTGTCCTCTTTAACAGATGGATAGCAATTAAACCCAACTTAACAGTTTTATAGCCATAAAAGTTGGCTCTAGCGTAACTACCTATTTTTTGAAGAAGTGACTCTGGATCCTTCTAAAGACACATTTTTGGGGTAAAAACCTTTTCTTTAATGAAATGAAGGTTAGAACTAGGCTTTTAAATGGTACCAATATTGGTGGGAAGTGGGGATGCATACGTTTGAAAATGCTTGTCGCGGCAGGTGCGATTTATTTGACGTCGAGTGTATTTTTTAAAGATAATTTTTTTCATTATACATTAAAATTTGTTATTACACAAATAATTGTACTAAGCTAAATATGCTTGTATCACGAGTGGGCTCACCACAAAAGTCGAGCAGCGGCGGGGAACGAACCCGAGTTCCCCGGATCACGAATTCACGAGTCGGCCAATCCGACCCCTTCACCGTTCGGCGGTATTCTGGGTAGAGCACTCAGGTGGGATTTTCTTTAGTCTGAGAAAGGTGAAGTAAGGATCAGTCCCGAAGTGAATATTTATACAGATAACTACGCAGTTTTTAAAATTACTTAGAACCTATGGAAGTTCTTTTTTTATTGAATCTTTTAAGTAAAAATTTTTATAATTTTTGCTAAAATTATTATTTTTTTCAAGTTTGTAGCATACATTTTTTATGTTGCATCAAAGATAGGAAGGTGAATATTTTTTCACACGACTGCCATTAATAGCAATTTTGTCAAAAAAAAAGAAATCTGACAAAAGTCGAAAAAAATCGTAGACATACATGGCGGTGATTCGGGTAGCCCTACTGATGCTCTACCTCTGGGCTTCGGTTTGACACTACATTTTGGGACATCCTGTTTATCAAATGCTTCATACCTACGTTTTCAGATCATAGTTCCGACTTAATTCACAAATACCACCAAAGCGGTTATTATATTTCTTCGAAAATGTTAGTAAATATACGTAAGTACTTATCCTTTCCACATAATCCTACTTTCCATAGCTAAACCCGAACCCAATCCGTACAAAAGTTTCTGAAAATTAGACCGAACAAACACAAACTTAGCGCAGCGAGGGAGTTCAACTCATAATAATGATAATGATAGAGTTTCTGTATTCTGAAGCTGAGTCCCCGTAGAGTAGAATAGGACCTCTTTAATTCTTCATTCTTCCCGTGAATAGCGTGAGATCCGACGAGAAATGTGAACATCAGACCTGAAGCCCGCAGGTTATCATGAAGAATGAAGGCCAAATCTTTTAATTCCCCCTGGTGTCACACTTCTGGAGATTTTTTTTTTATGTGACAGGAGGCAAACGAGCAGACAGATCACCTGATGGTAAGTGATTACCGTCGCCCATAGACACCCGCAGACCCAGGGGCGTTACAGGTGCGTTGCCGGCTTTTAAGGTGAAGATACGCTCTCCTCTTGAAAGCTTGCAGGTCGTATCCGTCCGGAAACACCGCAGACGACAGTCCATTCCACAGTTTGGTTGTACGGGGCAGAAAGTTTCTAGAGAAACGTACTGTTGTGGACTGCCAACCATCTAAGTGATGGGGGTGGAAGTGCTGTCGGGTAGATCGGTGGCGAAAAGTGGCGGCAGGAATAAGTCCGGATAATTCTTCGGAGCACTCCCCGTGATACATGCGATAGAATATGCACAGTGAGGATACATCTCTACGCAGCGCCAAGGGGTCAAGCCGATCCGAAATGTCCTGGCAGTCAACGATTCGAGCTGCTCTCCGTTCAATGCGGTCCAGAGGGAGAAGCTGGTACTGGGGCGCACCTGCCCAAAGATGAGAACAGTATTCCATATGAGGCCGAACCTGCGCCTTGTAAAGTTGCAGACGATGGGCTGGAGTGAAATACCGTCTCGATCTATTGAGCACACCAAGCTTCTTCGAGGCTAATTTAGCCTTACCCTCTAAATGACCACGGAACTGGACTTCGCTCGATATGTCGACACCAAGGATTCCGATATTGGCTGAGGCAGTTAGGGGAGTGCTCTCGAAACAGCGGGATACGACAAACGGCAACTTTTTGGCGGTGAACGCGCAAACTTGTGTCTTTGTAGGGTTAAATTGGACCAAATTGCGTCGACCCCAGTCTGAGACCTCCTTCAAGGAGGTTTCAATGTCGGACACAAGTTTGTTACGGCTCTCAATGACGTTCTCCCGAGAGATATTTGCGCGGCCGGTATAAGCGGCATCAACCGTGCTGTCGTCCGCATAGCAATGAATGCCGCTAATTTGCAGCATATCATTGATATGCAGAAGGAAGAGCGTAGGCGATAGCACACAGCCTTGGGGGACACCAGCATTCACAGACATAGAGTCTGAGCATTTGCTGTCGACAACGACCTTAATGCTTCTGTCTGCTAAAAAGCTGGCGACCCATCCGCATAATTTCTCGGGAAGCCCATAGGAAGGGAGCTTCGAAAGAAGCGCTTTGTGCCAAACCCGATCGAAGGCCTTCGCCATGTCCAAACTGACCGCCAATGCTTCCCCCTTAGTCTCGATCGCCTGTGCCCAACAATGTGTCAAGTAGACCAGAAGATCACCAGCCGAGCGACCTCCACGGAAACCGTACTGTCGGTCACTTAGCAACTGGTGGGCCTCTAGGTACCGAAGGAGCTGGCTGTTGATAATGGATTCCATTATCTTCGAGAACAAGGAGGTGATTGCTATCGGCCTATAGTTGGACGGATTTGAGCGGTCACCTTTTTTAGGGATCGGGTGCACCAAAGCTGTCCTCCATGAGGTCGGGACTATGCCAGAGAGGTAGGAGAGCTGAAAAAGGCGCGTTAAAACCGGTGCTAACTCAGGAGCGCACGTCCTCAGCACGATAGGAGGGATTCCATCGGGTCCCACTCGACTTATGGATATCCAGGGAAAATAGAGCCAGGCGTACTGAGCTTTGGTGGAACCGGATATCCGGCATACAGCTCTCACACCTCGGTATAATCGGTGGCTAATGTCCCCCGTCATCCAGTGTCGAGTTGGACGCGAAGAGATTTAATAATGATGATTGTAATAAAATCCTTTTTATACCCACTATTCACTTAAAAAACTGGAAACGTAGTAGGTAAGTACTCTTTTTCATCATGCATATTTTATCACTTAACTATTAAAATATAAAAATGTCGTCTGACTGTTCATATCGATAACATGCATCGATCCCGCACGGATTTAACTGAGCCAGTAGCCTAATTTTCGTAATCATTTAAAAAATCGAATTTAACTAAAATGGTATTCTCGTGTTTGGTATTTCAGATCTCGTTATAATCTTATAATACCTATCCAACCCGTGATTCCGGTAGTGACACAAAAAGCGCTCGAATTTAACACGAGTAAGGTCGAATTTCACTTGTAAGATTCGCTGACAAAATTGAATCGTTCAAATGCCGATCGATTTTGATGTAAGCGCATTATTTGAAGTTTTGTGAGTTTTTGTGTGCACCACAATACTTTTATCTTCATTATTCTTTTTGTTTATATTTTTAGCATAATAAATTGATATATTGATAAGCAATTTTAAGTACATTTTTTGAACAAATGACATGCATTGAATTTAAAACAAATTATGAATTTTTGTGTTCCTACTTTCCTCGAGAACTGTTTGATCTAAAGTTGGTTGGTAGTCACTATGTCAAAAAAAATTTGATCGCGTTTATTGACATGCGGTTAGCGAGAGGCGTGAAACAGGGCATGGGCGGGCCAAATCAAACACATGACAATGTAGCTAAAACGTCCGTGGACGCTGTACTCTGTTTTCTGTTGTTGGTTTTAGGCGGCTCTCTTTGTTAAATAGATCACACCGGTTTTGCGGTGCAGCACGGATCGGGGTGTGTGTGCGGCTTACGCGTCAACTTATGAATTTTATTTTTATTTTTATACACTTTGGTTCAGAATCGACAGCGCAGTGCGGTCCTGACTCTGCGTGTGATTTTGCAAAAGCACAATTTCAGCTAGGCGCTCTGCCGTCCCATATTAGAATTTGTACCCTAGAAATCGACTTGTTGAGAGTTAAGACTAAAATTACTGGACTCGTAAAATACTTATGGAAGCTGTACGCTAACTGCCGATTGATATAATAAAGATAAATTGATCTTAAATAAAATATGTACAATGCTCTAATACGATTGACGAACTTTGGATTCATTATGAAAAGTGATGAAAAATCACGTAACACATTTTTTTAAGTTATAATAGCGTACGATTACAATAATAAATTAACACAGTGATAATTTTTCATGGACAACTCAATGACATATTAGAAATTAAAGAATACTTTTGTTCCTAATCGTAGTTATTACTTTCCTGTCTCGTACATTTCCAATGTAAACCTCCTTGCAAATAGGTCAGACGTCATGAATTCTCTAGTGCTACTTTTAAAGCCAGTAATTACGACGACATGCTTGAAGCAAGTATATTTTATCTTACACGTCATAATAAATCAATCAACGATTACAGTGCCGTGTTTAAATCTAGCCAATCTCACCGTCGCCTAATTAGAGATCAAAGTACTTCAGAGGTAAACGCTTTATTACGGGAATACACAAAATTTTCACGATCATAATTGGGGCGAAGTCTAACAAAATACGATAAATCATCAAGGAAGAGTGCTTTGATGTGACCGTGTCCGGGCTGACGTCAGCACCGACGCATCGTATGTCGTACATTCATTATTTGCTCACGTATAGTAGATGAAAGGCGGCCACAATATAAATAAATAAATCGTGTGAAGTACAGCCTATGACAACGTTGAAAGGACGCGTGACGAAGTTATAATATTGGAATTCATGGGAACT